CGCCGCCCCCGGCCCCACGGGGCCCCGCTCCCGGTGTCTCTTTGTCTGGGCAGCGCCCGGCCCCACGGGGCCCCGATCCCGGTGACTCTGTGTCTGGGCAGCGCCCGGCCCCACGGGGCCCCGATCCCGGTGACTCTGTGTCTGGGCAGTGCCCGGCCTTTCTTTTTCATCAGCCATTTCTCTCTCCCTTCCCTTTGCTGCTCTGCCTTCTTTCCATCCTCCGATCTTTCCCCTTCCTCATTGCTGCTTTTCTTTCTTTCCTTCCGTCCTTCCTTCCCATCAGCCCTTCCCCTCCTACGCTTGCCCCCTGTTCCTCTCCATTTCCGGGGGGCTCTGGGAGGCCCCCCACAGCAGCCTGTTGGGCAGTGTGGGCTGGGGACACGGCGGGGGACACAGCTAGCCAGGGAGGGGGTGAAGACTAGCCCCAGCCGGTGCCTTCCCCTCGGATCTTATTCATTCACTTGTGGCTCTTGTTTGGCTCCCGCGTCCCCCCCTCCCGGCCCGGTGCCCTGCTGCCTATTTCTTGGGCTCGTACTGGATCAGCCTCATGATGGCTTCGTTCTTCATCACCTCTGTGATGAACTCCCCCTCGGCGAGTTTGTCTGTGAGGGGAGAAGACGGAAGGGCGGAGGGATCCGGGGGTTAATAGACTGCAATGTAGAGCCTGGCTCGGGCAGGGAATTGTGGGGGGGCTTTTCCCTCCAGGGGGTGCCCACTCCCAACAGCTGATGGACAGGGAATGGGGCAGGGGCTTTTCCCTCCAGGGGGTGCCAGCGCCCACCTGGCCCCATGGCAGGGGGGCTGGCTGGCTCAGGAGGTGGAGAATGGGACATGGAACTTTTCCCTTTTAGGGGGTGCTGACCCCCACCCAGCCCCATGGCGGGGACTGGCTGGCTCTGGGAGGCAGGGACTGGGGTCTGGGGCCTTTCCCCTCTAGAGCTGAGTTCTGTGGTAGGTTAAAAGGGCTTCGGTGTGTCGCCTGAGGGGTTAGGGTTAGTCGATAGGTGGGTACAGGGCTCCAACCCATTCAGCTCAGAGGTGGGGAGGGAGGGGGGGCGGGGGGGGGGGGGGGGGGGTGGAGGAGGAAGGTAGCAGCCTGAGAGGTACCCGGAGGGAAGCGGGACCAACCGAGGCGCCTTCTGCTCTTCTGGGGGGATCATCTTAAATATCGCCTGTGAGCAGAGAGAGCATTCGCCATCAGCTGGGTGCCATCCAGAGCCCTGCCTACCCAGCTCCACCCCAGAGCTGGCTGCATGTCTGGGAGGGTCCCAGTTCCCAGCTGGTGGGTGTGTGAACCGTCTCGTTGCTCCACCCACTAGCCCACCCTGCTTAAGGTGTGGGGGTAGGTCCGTTCCAGACCCTCTCCCAAAGCTGCTTTCCAGCTCTGGGGCTTAGCGCTGCAATGGGGCAGAGGTGGGGTGGGCTCCCAGCGTGCCCCTCCCCTGCTCTACCCACTAGCCCCCACTGCCCTCCCCATGCCAAAGAGAAAACTCAGGGGCCCTGCCTCCCAGCCCCGCTACTCTACCCCTAAGCCCCAGGGCTGGGCTGTTCCCCTGTGCCTCACATATCTCCTCGCAGCCGCCCCCCAAGTGCAGGCTGGGTGGGGGGTTATTAACCCCTCCTCCGGATTGGGAGATTAATCTGCACCCGGCACTGAATATGAACTGTCCGCAGAGCCCTGTGGGATATGAAAAATGATTAAAGGGTCCCAGGGCGTGACTGGGAGTTACCCAAATCTGTCAGCACACGCAGTCAGATTTCTTTAGCCATTTGCATCAACTTCTATGTGTGAGACTGGATTTTTGTGTTTGTTGCACATTAAGTCCAAACAGAGGAATCGGCTTGCAGTGGAAAGTTATATTCGTTGTGCCTTATCAAGTACCACGCCAAGCATTGAAAAGCTTGCCAGTGAGAAGAGAAGCCAAAAATCTGTTAGTAAGAAATAAATTTCAAACCAAAATGTTCGTTGTCTGCTCTTTATCATCATGTCTCAAAAAGGAGTTGGTCCACGAACATTTTTTGGTTGGCCTGGTGGTCTGTGGACTGAAACGAGTTGAGAACCCCTGCCCTAAGCCAATCCAGAATCTGAAACAGGGACGGTCCTGTGGGTTAAAGCCCAAAAGACCTGACTCCTGGGTTCTGCTCCTGGCTCTGTCGGTGACTTGCTTGGTGACTTGGGACAAATTGCTTCGTCTTTCTCAGTCTGATGCCCCCATTCGAGCCTGGGAAGTGAGGTTCAGTCTTGGGGTGACAGGCAGCCAGTCTGTGAAGGGAATTGGTTTTTAAACTGGCTCCTTTGCAGATCAGCTCCCATGTGACACCCCTCGCTGCTGCCTCTGGGGACTATAGACTAGTCGAGTGACCAATAAGAATTCATGAGACGAATCGACTATTCAGTGAACCGATATCTAACATCCCCACTGTGGAGGTCGCTGTTTCTGACCCCTTACTCCAGGACCTCACCCATTCCTGGTGGGACTCTTCCTCCCACCCCGGGATTCTCTCTTGGCCGCTAGCCTGGTCATGAGAAATACCTTCCCCCTAACCATGAACCTCCTCTCACAAGGCCCCTGATCTCTTGTCGCCTCTGCCTTCGTCTTAGCAAAATCCAGCAGCAGGCAGTTCCACTGGTCATCCACAGATTTTCCCTCCCCCTGCGACTGACAAGCAGGTGACTCCTTCCCTTGCCTTACCCACTGATCCCTCCCTAGGTTCAGGCCCACTGCAGCTGAGGGATAATCCCTGATTAATGGGGGATCAGAGGCCCTGGCTGGCGGGAGGGCATGGTGATCAGGCTGGTGGGGTGGAGGCGAATACGTGCTAGGAGAGGCATTGGCTGTTGTGATGCCACCAGGAGCCAGATAATTTGGGATCAGAGGGAGGGGATCAGACACCAGCTTTTGTTCTGAGTACACGGGACTTTGCTGGTGGGTCGCAGATGAACCCTGGGCGCAGACCCAGGCTGGATTAAAATTAGCACTTTTTGGGTTTTTCTTTGAAAAAAAAAATGTAGAAAGGTTAAATCACATTTTTGTAATTCCATTTACAAAGCAAGTTTTCCTTCATGAGACGTCTGTTCCGAAGGGAATCTGAGTTGCAAACCAAAGCCGAACGGGCCAGAACGTAGCGTCTCACTACACGCGTGCTGCACCCTTCTCGGAAACGGGTGTGAAAGGCTGTTTTTCTAGACAAGTCAAGGATCCAGGGGGAAGCAGGTCGCTTCTGAGACAAGCTTTGTAAAGATGGCAGGGCCATAGGAAGCCAGCAAGCTGGGAGTCACCGTTTTCTCCCATTCTAAAAACGTACCCCGGATAAGAATTTGCCTCTCTTAAGCTACACCCCTGCTCGAATAAATGTCCAGCGGCCCCTGCCAGGAAGCAAAGCGATGCACAAACTCGAGCGTAAGGGCACCTGCGAGTTATAAATCGACGTGTTTGAACGGGCCCATCGGCAAGCGAGAAAGCAACTCGCTTTGAGAAATCACGGCGGCACAAAAGGAAAAGGAGCTTTAAAATCGGTGATTTCACTGGTCTTCTTTTAAATCCCTGTGCCCAGTGCGGAAAGGCTTAGCGGTCGTGAGGGGCCACGTATGGTCGGCTATTTTCTCCCCTCCACCCAGTCAAAAAATGGATTGAAGAAGGTGGGGGATGGGGGAGACCGAAAGAAACGTTTTCACAAGGAAATCATCTTTTGATTTTGAAAGTGGCTCTTTGAAACCCTCCCCCCAAAACAGCTTCCCTTTTGGAAATGGGCAAATCCAGAACCCACCGGAGGAAAAACATTGGCACGGGTCGAATCCAAACACGGTGTTTTCCGAGTTTGGGGAAGCAGATCGAGTTTGGATGGAATGGGCAGTGGATTTTCAGCAGTGACAAATCGATTCCTCCTGGCTTGGGTTAAATCTGCCTGGGTCCCGTCCCCCTCCCCAGAAATGTTCTTTTGTTTTTAAAAAATGTAGCCTCTCTGAAATCCTGTGGCGGGTAGTTCCGCAAGCAGCCCCCCAGCTTGCCTTGATCCTGTGCTGAGGGACTGGGAACCCACCACCCCACAGGTTGCTTTCAGAGGCAAGACACTAACCCCCAGCCTGGCCCCAGGGCAGAAGCAGCAAAGGGAGGTTTTCGCCACCAGGGGGCAGGCAAGCCAGGCTCTATTAGCCGTTTGGGGGTGGGAGGGCCTGGTGGTTAGAGAGCGAGGGAGATGCCACTGTGGGAGGGGAGTTGGGTCTAGTGACCGGCTGTGAGCGCCGTGGCATTTTTAGCCCCTTCTACGAATTTCCACGTGGTTTTTATCGTGATCTCTCTCACCTTTTATCGTGATCACTGCTCCCTCCCCCCCAAGCCTTCCTCCTCCTCCCCCCCCCCAGCTTTCCTCCTCCTTTTGGCCATGGCAAATCCAGCTTAAGGCTCGTTATTTTCTGCCGCGGTGTGGGGCAGCGCCCCAGATACCCTGCCTGACCTGCAGGAGCGGCTCTGTGGGGCCGGGGGAGGCCATACTGATTACATTAACT